TATGATTCTATGATTCTATGATTCATATCCAAACATCACTTGGCTGAGGAATTGGGACATTGAGACTGCTGCATTAAGTGTTTTAAACCCAGGGATTCTGCTGTGGTAGGAAACTGAGAGCTAAACCACAAAAGGAGTCAGCAAATATTGCAGCAAAGATGTTCCTAAAATCAGATTCTAAGGGTGTGCTGCAATGCCTTGCAGTGTGAAGATCCCAACAACACCAGTTACCAAAGCTGGTAAGCCGTTACAGCTCATCCTCACCCTCTATAAACTGGCTAGCAATGTGTTCACGCTGCCCTGGATCCCGATGTTATCTAGCACAGATGTCCTTTGAGTTACACTTGCTTGTGTTTTCTTTTCTAGGTCTTCCATGTGCAAAGTTAGCACAATGTTTAGCAGTGCATAAACAGGTGCTTCTGGAAATGTTTATTACTGTGGCTCAGGGGAGAGTCAATAGGTGCCTAAATGCTAGTCCTTTGGTTTCATTTGGTGGTCCTTCTCACTGTATGAGCGCTACAAGTCACGCTATGCTCTGCAAACAAATGAAAACAAATTAATTAAGTAGAACTGCAAGGGAAGAGGAAGGAAGTCTATAGTCTTTTTACAGTTCTTCTGAACCACAGCTCAAACTTCTGTGTTATCTTTGCACCTGAGTGACAGATTTTAGTGGTATGTGTTTTGAGTTCAGGCTGCATACAGATTTATCAGTGATCGATTTTTAGAAATTATTGGCTTAGACCAACATTTTCAAGCATTTTATTCAGGAGTACTTTTCATCCAGACATTCTTGTGGTTGACCAGAAGTCACAGCAGAGATTTACGCTTATAAATGTCAGTGTTTCCTCTTGTGTTTTTACAGACATTAGTTGAATATGGAGCAAACGTCACCATGCAAAACCACGTGGGAGAGAAACCCTCACAAAGTGCTGAGCGACATGGGCACACCATGTGTTCCCGCTACTTAGTGGTTGTGGAGACTTGTATGTCATTGGCCTCTCAGGTTGTCAAGCTAACTAAGCAACTGAAGGAGTAAGTGTTTCATTCTCAGCAGAGGAATCATTCTTAAACCATATCTTACTTTACCTTCAATTAATTAGCCGTGTTTGTTTTCTGCTTCTTATATATGATATTTTCAAGTCATATTTCTACCTTATTTCCCCACTCTTTTGTACTTTCAAGCATTTGCCCCTTCACCTTTAGCAACGCAGTTTTTCAGCTGTTCTTTTTGTGGCAGTTTGCTGTGAACATAAGATGAAGTGAATGGGTGTGGAAAAGGATACATATGAAGCGATCCAATTCCTTTTTTCCCTTTGCATATCTTGGGGTCACATCATTGCTGATCATAATTTCTATTCGCATAGCATACTTTTATATACAGTGAGTGGCTCTTCCTAGTTGCAGTGCTGGGTGTTGATGTTGGGAGGAATAATGGAAACAGTAGTTGGAGGGGTTTTTTTGGATTTGGAAGGTCACCAAAACCCACAGTGGCTACTCAGGAAATATCTTATGTTCTGGTTTTTCTTTGTAGAAGCGGGTTTCAGTATTTCAGTATGGTTTTTAATAAACTTTCTGTAAAAAGCATGTTATTTTGAAACATGAATTTATGCAATTGCTTGCTTTTATTGTAGATGCAGCTACTGTAACTTACCATGTCAATAGGATCGTAGGATAAAACTCTTAGAAACCATCAGCACTGATCTAACATTGTTCCGACTTAGGTACATGATCAAGAGCTTGTCAGCTACCACAAGCCCTGAAAATGGCTTTTGACAATCCTATGTTTAGAGGAGACCATATCATTTTGTGCAAGCAGCATGTTGGTAATTGTAGTGCGTATAAATTGCAAGGCTCTGTTAGCAGGGGAGCTGCAGGGGTGGCCTCTGTCAGAACAGGTGAGGGGCTGCCCTTTGCCGGACACAACTGGTTCCAGACAGCTCTGCAACAGACCCACTGCAGGAAACAGCTAAGCCCATCATCCAAGTTGGTGACACCTCTGTGAAAACGTATTTGAGAAAGGACAGAAAATTCCAGAGAGGAGAAGGGAACAGGAACAGAAGAGTGACAAGCAGAGAGAATAGCTAGATCAGAGGAGCAGGAGGTGCACCATGGTGGGGCGGGCACGCCTCCAAAGGGGCTATGGCCCATGGAGTACCCATGCTAGAACAGGAACACCCCTTGCAAGGACTGCAAATCATGGATAAGACAACACCAGAGACAGTGCTTCCCTGAGTGGACTGCAGCCTGTAAAAGACTCACACTAGAGCACAGGAAAAAGTGAGAAGGAAGGAGCAGCAGAGAGAAACTGCTGCACAGGGACCCTGACCTGTACTGCTCATTGCTTTACTGAAAAGACTGAGTGTAACCTGCAGCGACGACAAGGGGGAAGAGAGGTGTCTGGAGTGAAGCCTGAGAATGGGAGAGAAAAGGGTCTTGGAGTCCAAATGAGCCTGGGAGTGAAGTTGAGCCTGGAAGAGGGGAGAATAGGTGTTTTAAATGTCTGTCCTTTTTTGTTTCCCAATACTTGAATCAATAATGAAATATTTAGGCTAATTGGCAATGAATTAAGTTAAATTCCCCGAGCTGAGTCTCTGGCCCATGACAGTAATTGGTAAGTGATCTCGCTGTCTTTATCTTGATCAAGGAGCTTTTTTGCCTCTATTCCTCCTATTTTCTGCACCCATTGCACTGAGGGATAGGAAGAGTGAGAGACAAACTGTGTGGGTGCTTGGCTGCCAGCTGGGGCCAACACAGTGATACAATTCTTAGTTTCAAACTTGATGTCTTGAAAATAAGGGTAAAAATACTCTATATGGTTAATTCACCCTTTTGTTATGATCAGGTATGTATTTTGCACTGTTTTTACAGCAAAATGAGTATATAGTAGCAGTCCTCTCTGTCATTACAGAATATCTGCCTGCATTTTGAAGTATGCTTATTTTTATGTTTTTACCTCTAATTTTTATATTGTAAAGGCATTTTCTCTTTGTGATATCTTCATTCGTCTTTTACATTTATGCTTTCATAAATTCAAAGTGAACTAAATATTGTGATTTCCACAGTTTTCATTATTTTACGGTCTTGACGCTGTTCACTGCACATTTCAAAGTATCAGGTATTTTGTAGTTGGTTCATTTGCTGAGAAATACTAAAATATAAAAATCAGCTGAGCTGATATAAACGAAAAAAACAGAAACTAGGGTATTTCCTGAGCAGCCTGCATTAGCACTTGTCTCACCTCAATATACAATGAAATTTATTTTCCCCATAACTC